ACCTCTAATACACCACTATGTCCAACTGTCTTTGGGCGCGCGCACGGCATCCGGTGCGTGAGGTGTGTACGTGCTCTGGCGTAGTTTACGTTAATGGGAGTGTTGATATCCAGCCGAAGAGCAATCAACCATAACTTCAGGCGAGCAGGCTCAAAAGTTGGGAATACGTGGAAAGTCACCACTCCCGAATGAGTTCGCGCGAGAGAACGTAATCTTTTAGTTTTAAGTCGGTTTGTACAATCTGGATAAGCGCAAGTAAGTACCATTTTGATTACCCGTCGTACCTACAATGACTGTGCACTGTGTACACAATGAGTGACGTATACACGCGAGAGATCATTTCCGGCACTTACGTAAACTACGCCAGAGCGCGTACACACCTCACGCACCGGATGCCGTGCGCGCGCCCAAAGACAGTTGGACATAGTGGTGTATTAGAGGTAAAAAAGGATATAAATACTGTTCGTTTCTCGCACAAACCAATCATTTCGTGTCTTAGGACATCAATGTGTCGTCACGAGCCACAGGGTTTAATTTGGATTTGTCTGTGCATGTTTTTTTTTTTACTCTCATAGATTTTGTTACAATTGCCATGCATTATACGACTGATAGACTGCAACGGCTGGAGTTCAAAATCATCAAATGTGTTCTACTGAAGAAACAAAGTCACCTACATCTTGGATGCCCTGGGGGTAAGCAGATAAACATCAAATTTTAATTTTTGGGTGAACTATCCCTTTAAAGTGCATTTCACAGAAATGTCAACAGCTTTCACACATCTTTCAAAATAAGAGTCTTGCATCAGAAAAACATTGAGAATTAAGTTTTTTTTTGTTGTTGATGATGTTTCTTTGACTGGGGGTCATGACCCACGAGTTGAGAAACCTTTTGTCCAATACAGTTAATCACATAAGAGAGACAATATCGTTCCACATTTAGCCTAGTGTCGTAAGTACAGTACAGTATAGGAATATTTAGTTAATGTGTCGTCCGAAAAGGGTTACTTTGCCACATTGAAGAGCTCATGGTTATGTGAATTATCACTTCTACCTCTAATAAGCAATCATGCTCCTTTGATGCCAGGTTAGGGTTAAACACTAATTTTCTTTCATTGTCTGTGAACCCTCTGAAGTAGCCTTGGCCACCCCATGGATGAAACTGGTTCTGCCACTGAATATGAGTTCAGTTAACATCATTTGTGGTTTAATGTCAATTACCACAACAAATAATTTTGGCTCACTTAAAATGGAAGTTCATAGGACTAGGCAGTAGATGCATTTTTCTAGCTACAAACTACAAAACCTAATTATTATACGTGGTAATTTGCGACTAATTTGATAGATTACATCCTATATTTTTACTTCAGTGTCCTGATGACAACTGATGAAGTAAATGCTTTTAAAAAAAGATACAAACTTCACATTTTGGCCTTTCAACACTACAGTTTTGAAGTCCGTAAGAACTGAATAATTTTATTCAACAAGGACAAAATAAATTGATCAAAAGTGACTACAAAGACATTTATAAAGCTTCAAAACATTTCTATTTCAAATAAATGCTGTTCTATTGAACCTTCTATTAATGATTTTAAAAAATGTATTACCGTTTCAAAATGTTAAGCAGCATAACAGTTTCAACATTGATGATAAATGTTTCTTCAGCATCAAATCAGCATATTAGAATCATTTCTGATGGATCATGTGAGAAATGATACTGAAAATTCAGCTTTTCGTCATAGGAATAAAATAATTTAATTAAAATTGTAATAATATTTCACAATATTACTGTTTTCAAATAACCATATAAAAAATCTTACTGACTTCTTATTTCTTTCTGTTGATTGAGCTTAACTCAATAAATTTTGTCTTTGTGTGGGTATTTTAATACTTCCATATTTTTATCTTTTTGCAGTGGCTGGATTGCCACAATGATGTTTTTCGGCACGAATGTAGCCTCGGCTATATTCATGCTCATCTGTACTCTGCTCTTTACCATAGATACAGTTCTAATGGTGTTCATTCTCATCAAGGTATGATTTGCATATACACACACGACCCTTAATGAATAAACCCTTAAATCAAAATGAAAGAGCAATGTGTGACATCACTCCTGTCCCCTAATAGGTTCATCGACTGTATCGCGGTGGAGGAGGCAGTTTTCAGCAGGCACAGGAAGAATGGAGCACAGGCGCTTGGAAAAGTGGCCCTGTGAGGGAAGCAGGATTCAAAGCCATCTCTGAAACCGGCCCCAGTCTGCCCCAGTATCCAGCCACTGTGCCCAATTACCCAGAGAGTGGACCCTGGTGATACTTTTTCTGAACTACAGATGGAGCCAGAGTACCACTGCTTGTCTTAACATTAAAGGGGCAGTTTGCAGTGGGACGTTACCCTTTATTTTGTGCCGAGAAAACACTTTGACCAGATCGTGGACTGGTGAATAGTTGCTTTGCATTTGTACTGATTTGTTTAAAAACATTTTTCTTTTTTTACATGTATAGCAAAAATATCTAATGTTAAATCACTCCTTAAAAAATGTGTATAAACCCAAATAGTTTGTTCAAGTTAATCTTTTGAACACTTTAATGTGAAGGATGATCAAAAATGTCAAACCACTTTTTTGGGTGCAAATTCTGACAAATCGCCACCCAGAAGGTTAAATAACCAAGCCAAATAAGCAAACTGCTCCTTTTTAAAGACTCTCAACACATATTATTCTCAAAATGACAGGCAAACGGTGGACCATTAGTATAAAAATAGCAAAAAAAGTACATTATTAAGTTGATGAATTCATCTCAGTTCATCTGAGCCTTGATTTTTCTTATCATTCCATTGACTTGCTTGAGAATGAAATCAGAATAGTTGCATATCAAATCACGGAATCATGTAGAATGCATATGCATATACTGTATATGACTGTATTCCGTACAATCACATTACCATTTAGCGAAAGTGATTTTTTTAAAGAGGAAAAAGCATGTCAAAACTTTTTTCTAAATCATGGCAGCTTTTCCATTTACCTCAAGAAATGTCCACATCAGTGCTTCTGCAATTCATTTCAAACTGCGGTTAATTATTCGTTCAGACTTTCAAGATCCACAAGCATGAATTAGATGTCTTTGTAAATGGTATGATTTGCATATGACACACCCTTTTTAAACTGCAAAAGATTTTTTTAAAGATCTATGACTGAGAATATTTCTTGCAAACACATCTTGTGCCTGCTTTCTTTTCTGTTTAAAGCTTTTCACATCTTCGAAATGAAGACCGCCTTAATTCTTCATGCAAATTATGCATGTGTGAACTAATAGCTTTCAAGTTTCCCTCAAGTGCTACAACTCTATTGGACATATGCATATACTGTATATGACTGTATTCCGTACAATCACATTACCGTTTTAGCGAAAGTGATTTTTTTAAAGAGGAAAAAGCATGTCAAAACTTTTTTCTAAATCATGGCAGCTTTTCCATTTACCTCAAGAAATGTCCACATCAGTGCTTCTGCAATTCATTTCAAACTGCGGTTAATTATTCGTTCAGACTTTCAAGATCCACAAGCATGAATTAGATGTCTTTGTAAATGGTATGATTTGCATATGACACACCCTTTTTAAACTGCAAAAGATTTTTTTAAAGATCTATGACTGAGAATATTTCTTGCAAACACATCTTGTGCCTGCTTTCTTTTCTGTTTAAAGCTTTTCACATCTTCGAAATGAAGACCGCCTTAATTCTTCATGCAAATTATGCATGTGTGAACTAATAGCTTTCAAGTTTCCCTCAAGTGCTACAACTCTATTGGTGGATGTGGCTACATCCTGTGCTGTTATTAATACTGGCTTCTAAATATGTATTACTTTGCATTTAATCCTTGTATCATTTCAGTAATTGTGCTTCGTATTGTTTACAAATGTGGTTGGCAGGAGGCACTCAATATGAACATGTGACTTGATCTTTATTAGTTTTCGTTTAAGATCTCCCTCCACCAAGCCAAAGGAGGCTGATTTTGAAATGTTCCATGACTGGCCTTGTGTAGCCAAAGTATTTAACAATCCTGTATCTAAAATGTGACCAGACTGGCTCTCTAACGAAGTTTATTTCAATAAAAACATTCCTTTTCAGATTGAAGTTGCTTACATTTTAGTTGCTCCTTGCTTTTGAATATGAATACTTTCTGAATATATAGTAGGCCAAATTAATAGTATGTCCAAAGTCATAGTATTAATTGAGGTTAAACCGAGAGAGAATAGACCTAGTTAAGTAATGTGTACTTGAGTACAACACCGGGTCATGGCACCAAAAAATACTGACTTGCATGCTCTGTACTCTTACTGAGAGTGAATGTTGCAAAGAGCGACATATTACATAAATGTAATAGCTACTCAGTTAGTGCTATTTTGTATGCAGCTACTAATTGGTAGGATGTTTACCTTAGTTTTTCTTGATAGGGCAGCAAATGTATACATTTTCTAAAAAAGCTGTTCACAGGTTGTCTTGACAAACCTTGCTTTTTTACTTAATGTATACATTTCTTTGAATTTCAATTAGTTTTAATTCTACTTGCATTGCATTTTAAACTAATTCTGCACAAAAAAAAACGATTAATTTTTTTATTAATAAAAATAAATAGGTATAAAATATACAAAATCATAATGTAAAAAAAAAATCGAATTCTTAAATCTCAGACTCGTCTGTAATGTACTTAAAAATACAAATGTCCGTTGGTGTATCCCCATTGGTGATATTCCTGTGGAAGCTAGTGGCTTCTAGACCACTGTTCGTTGTGACACACAGCCTGACCATTTGCTGTTTACTGTCCACAGCATCATTTCCTGTGTGCATGTATTCCCTTTCTGGAAGATTCCTGGGATTTTTGATTGATTGTCTCCCACAGCACATAAACGGAGAGATGTGGCCCATGTACAGGTTCCAGATCAGCAGACATGCCATCATAACAGACAGCACGGCCAATGCTACTTGCATTACTATCCATTTGCTCTCACTGCTCAGATTTTTTGAATATGATGGAGGCTCTTCTGTTTTATGCAAACCTGATGATGTTGTGTAGCTTTCAGAAAGGATTCCCAATGTGGTCTTAATCTTATCTGTCACAACTGCTGCTGATTGTTCACGCAAGTCATAAATGGCCAGCGTTTGGGTGTAGTCTCTCCCTTTCGCCCGCTCAACTGACGTGCAGGTGTAGCGTCCAGCATCAGCGGCAGAAACATTGTAGACAAGGATGCCTTCATTATAAATAGTATACTTCCTGTCTGAGTAGGGGAGTGGCTTTCCAGCAAAGTTCCAGATGACCTGGGCCAAGTTAGAGTCTGGATGACACAGCAACCTAATGTTGTTTCCCAGCACCAGGGTGCGGATCTTTGGTTCCACTGGAGCTGAAAAAGTGAAAAACATGTTAAATAGAGCCCTGATTTTAAAAGGGAAAGGTTCACACCAGAATGAAAAATGCTAAAAATGTACTCACTCTCAGGCCATTCAAGAGGAGTTTTTTCTTCATCTGAACAGATTTGGAGAAATTCAGCATTACATTACTTGCTCACCAATGGATCCTCTGCAGTGAATGGGTGCCGTCAGAGTCCAAACAGCTGATAAAAACATCACAATAATCCACAAGTAATCCACACCACTCCAATCCATCAATTAACAACTTGTGAAGTGAACAGCTGTGTGTTTGTAACAAATCCATCATGAAGATGTTTTTAACTTTAAACCGCCGTTTCCAGCTAAAATACGAATCCTCTATCCATAATATTCCTTTCTACAGTGAAAAAGTCACATAGGCTGAATCGGGAGAAATATGCACAGATCAAGCACCACTTACAAGCAAAAACGGTCCAAAACAGCTCTGAACAAAATATGATTTTGATGTGAGAGGACAACAAGAGATGGACTTTTTCACTGCAGGAAGTGTTATTATGGATTACAGTCTTTTATTATGGCCAGAAGCAACGGTTTTAAAGTTAAAATGTTTTAATGATTGATTTGTTTCTTACAAACACACAATGTTAACTGATGGTCTGGATTCGTGTGGATCATTGTGATGTTTTTATCATGTTGTTTGGACTCTCGTTCTGACGGCACCCATTCACTGCAGAGGATCCATTGCTGAGCAAGTGATGTAATGCTACATTTCTCCAAATCTTTTCCAATGAAGAAACAAACCCTTGGATGGCCTGAGGGTGAGTACATTTGAGTGAACCATTCCTTTAATATTGAATCAGAAAAAAGTTGATAAATACCTGTTGTTGGGCATCGAGTGGCATCCCCGTCCTTTAGACTTTGTATCAGATTGCTGAAATGCAAAAATGTTAACTGTTAGCATATGTTGTTTATACACACTTACATATAGTCCAGTAGATTTTAGAAATGCAAAACGTTTAAATAAATATTTTACTAACCCTCAGCTCCAAAAAAACATGAAAATACAAGCAAAGTTTTTACATTTTAAATTGGTAATATCTCCTCCTGTGTTCCGAAAATCAAGTCATGTTGGTTTGGAATGACATGAGGGTAAGTAAATGATTTTATATATATATATACACACATGCAAATAAAAAAAAAAATGTTTTTTGCAATTTGTCCTTGATATGGGGTTGTACTTGTGTGTGAGCACTTTAGTGCTTTACCTTTTATCATTCTCAGGTGATGTGGGTACTCTAGAGCACCGTTGCACTGTGGCGTCCCAGGCACAGTAAGGGTCTCTAGCCAGCACACAGTCCACACAGGAAAAATAACGACTGCAGCTGCTGACGGGCATCTGAACAACCCCAGACGCAGAGCCTGCATACAACTGGACAAAACAAACAACTCATGCTGATTCATGCATTTTTTTCATGATAAACATGCAACAAAATATTCCTTCACTTTGTCTTTCTAACAATTGCCAATCAGAGTTGTTACAAAAATAACTGTTATTATGTGAAAATTATGCTTTTTATAAATTTTTTCTGATTATGCTTTTATTGTGTCTTTTAAGGACACAAAAACAAACATGACCATGTAGTTTAACAACTGACCATTTCTTTTTAGTGAATCAGAAACACAGCACAATCGGTGTAGCCCATTTCCCGAAATAAATGAGCCAGTTCTTTTAAATAATAGTTCAAAATTATGAATTTTGAATCAGTGCCCTTTATAATAGTGTTAGCAGAAAGAAAATTCCTTTCATATGTAAGCAAAATGGATATTAGAACTAGGGCTGGGCGATATAACAAAAAAATTATCACAATATAATGTTTCATATCGTTCATCGATAATTATTGTCAATTTTTTTATAACCTTTCTTAAACAGAGCAGTAGAAAAAAAGGTTTAAATTTAACCACTGTATTTTTAATTTACCAAATTTGTTAAGACAAACAACTTATTTTAATAGTCTTAAACAAAATAACAAATAAAACTAAATAAATTAAAATTGAAACAAATATCTCCTTTCTTATATTTTATATGCAGATTAAATAAGCATTAAAGGGGTCATATGATGCTGCTAAAAAGAACATTATTTGGTGTATTTGGTGTAATGAAATGTGTTTATGCGGTTTAAAGTAAAAAAAACCACATTATTTTCCACATACTGTACATTATTGTTTCTCCTCTATGCCCCGCCTTTTTGAAACGTGTTGATTTTTACAAAGCTCATCGGTCTGAAAAAGCGAGGTGTGCTGTGATTGGCCAGCTATCCAGTGCGTTGTGATTGGCTGAATACCTCAAGCATGAGACGGAAATGTTACGCCCCTCACCATACTGTTGATGCCGTGTCCGGCCGGAGCGACGAGACAAAAACATTAAAAGCCATTACAAACGAGGCATTTGTTGCATCCAGTGGAGACATAATTACGGATTATAATGACTTATACTGTCTTTT